CCCTCAACTCACCTTGTACTCGTAGCCATGAGTAAAGAGCGGCACGTCGAGCAGCAGACTCTGGCTATCGTTGCTCAGGATGTAGCCGTGCTGGGTGGCCAGCTCTGATGTCAGCAGGTCTGAACCGACACCGATGTCCCACATGTAGTCAAAAGGCCGGTGGTCCAGTTTGAAGCGGATCCCAGACTCCAAACAGACAGCGTCAAAGGTCGGAGGAGCTTTGAAATACAAGAGAATTGTTAACTCTGCTCGCTGCCAATAGAAATAATGACATTATCCAAACAAAAGTGAATGACTTACACACATCTGTGAACAATGCCTCAACAGATTCCAGGTGGTAATAAGGCTCATTTTCAGGCAAAATTGTCATTGTGTAGTTGATGTCCAGCTTATACTGAAGAACCGCTTGTTCTTTAGAGAACTAAGAAACAAAATACAATTACGACTGAGTTCAGAAACAGTTGCAAGGAGCAAAACTCAGAAAAATCAGCCTACTTTCAGAAAAACAATACCTCTTGTACAATGATAGGGTCATCAAAAGGCACCTTCAGAGTGTAGCCACAAGTGTTGTTTGGATGAACAACCTTTGTGATGGTTTGGCTGCTGGTATTATTAAATGGCAGTGTGTATTTATGTCCATTCAGATGAACATCTGTCAACTCAACATCCTCAGGGACATCTTCGAGGTAGACCGTGAACGTGCGATCCTCAAGAAGAGTTTGGTTCTCAGTGAAGATTGGGTGTGGCATCAGGGGAGTGGCCAGCGTCCTGTAAAGGCGGATCCTGGTCTCTAAATTATCCTCATCCACCATCATTTGTTCCAAGTACAGATGAAAGACATAATACTCGTTGAGATTGCCAGACACGATGCTCTGCAAGAGACACATGCAGTTCAGATATGAGTCTACTCAGATTATTCTGTGCTTTTATATTATGCTGCCAGATAGGAAAACAATGCATTTTATACTTGCTGTAAATCTGTTTAACGCATCAGTAATGTCTATATTAATGTAAATTCCAGTCTCCTTTTAAATAGTGGTGTTCAATAATTTAGACACGTTTAATTGCCCTAATCTGGACCTTGAATGGCTCTTATGCCAAGTTTGATTTAGGCAACCAAGGAAGTGTCCATCTACTGTGAAGACAACTTTTAGGTTTCTGACCTTTCTGTATCCTCCTTCAGCATTATAAGGGATTTTAATCTGGACTGTGGTGTTGTGCTTCTCCACAATGTAGCCTCTCTCCTCTGCAACTGGCTGCTCCACAAGTTCACCATTGACTCCAATGCTGAGCTGTGGGCGGTCAAGACTGGGGTACAGCACCCCAGGAGTCTGCCACAACATGTAGCCACTGTCATCGTATGATCCTTCATCTGTTGAAGAGACAATATTGTAACTTGAACTGTTACTGTTCAAATTGTTCAGTGAAATGTTACTATAGTAATGTACAGCTGTAATACTGACGCATGGAGCAAGCAGCCACCAGGTCGACCATGAGGACAACCCAGCTTTGTCTGGAGAACAGAGTTGCATAGACCACCTCTACTGGAACACCATTCACCTGAGAGAGAGACTCAATCAAAACCTGCTTTGGACTAAGCTTTACAAAAACAGATTCTGCATTAGGAGGTTTACCGTAGTTCTGAGCGAGTCAGGTTGTCCGTATGGTGTGCGAAATACAAGCCTTCCATCTGTCAAGTCAAATGCATAACCCTGTTTATGGGCTTCAGAGAGGTTCATTGGCGGTAACGGCTCCTCCGCTCTCTGAAATGTCACCTGCCAGTCTGAAGTGGTGGAGCTATGTGCCTGGAAAAAGATTTAGTCTTAAAAAGTGGAACTTTACTACATGAGCCAAGGAATTCCTTCAACAGTGAAACATACAGGTCTGAGGCCATTCCAGTCATCCTTCATTGCACTAGATGGACAGCTGCCTTCACTCCTCACAGACACCTGCAGAGAAACCAGGATTAGTGAACAGTCGGCACAATTGCCCAAATTTGTTACGAATGTGTACCCAAGCTTACTTCCATGTAGTTAACCTCACAGGTAACCTCTCTGGGAGACCAGGGGAGTGTGGGAGAACAGGTCTTGCTCAGAGCATAGGTGACTTTTTCTCCTTCATGTGTCGCAATCAGGTTGAATTTAAATGTGAACATTTTGTCATCCTGAAAAACCCCATAAAATATTTTATAAAAACATACCATCTAGTGTCAGAACTGTAAGCAATATAGAGTTTTGTTCCTGAAACCACACCCAATTTCCTTTAGTTTGTGTTGCTAAATATTATATGTGTACGTACTTTATAGTCAGTGTGACAGCTGAAGTAAGAGGCTCTGAGCGCTACATGGTCTTGTAGAGGGAGAAGGCAGACACTGTAGCCACATGTCGCTGCATACTGCTCACTGATTGGGTAAACACCTGTCCCAGCTGGAAGAGAAACATTTTTATTAATAGTGTGGCTTAATATTTACTTGAGACCTGTGTTAAGTCAAGAACTTAAGGTTTGGCTAGAAACGACAATAAGGGATTTCTCTGATTAGATGCATGATTGAGTGGGTGGTACTTGCAGAATCTGGAAATTGATCAGCCCTGCCCTGCCCTAGCCCCATTTTAGATAATTATGGTGCAAAGGTATTTACATGACAATGAAGCTGTGTAGGACTTACCTATGGCCTCAAAGCGAGGGTCCTCCCCAGTGAAGGAAAGATCAACAGTTATCATGAAATAACGATCATGACACTCCATGTGAAGAACTCCTGTATGCATAAGCAAGTTATGGTCAAAATACATACATCTTATTAATTATTGTCAACTGTCACTGAGACAAAGTGTTAATTACCATCGGGAATGGCAGCGCATTTTACAACAGACCGCACAGACAGGAAAAATAAGGCCACTCTGTAAGACAAAAAATCGTGTCTCTGGCATGCAAAAATACCAGCAAAAAAAATAAATAAAAAAATAATAACTTAAAAGTTGCAACTAAACAACTTACCCAAGGAAAAACCCTAAAGCCATAGCCACTGATGTGTTGGCAGTGTCTAAAGCTAGCCTAACTGCTAGCAAACTACACCTACTAACCAACACACTAAAGTGAACTAATTGCTTGATATATCCTGGCCAGACTGACAGCATCTTGTACTACCTGCTACACCAGCTTTTATACTCCATTTCTTGACCCATGAGGTTTAACGGAGGGCAGGTTTAACCCCACAGCTGCAAATGATTCAAACATTTGATTGCTAATGAGCTACACATGTGGCTGTAACGCCTGAGGGCCTCTGGTTGGTTGGCGAGGAAATGGACTTATAAAAACTGGTGTAGGAGATAACCACCATGTGGTACCACTTTGGCCAGTACTTACCAAGCAAGTGGTTTACTTTAGCTTGTGTTGGTTAGCAGGTGTAGTTTGCTAGCAGCTAGGCTAGATTTAGACTTTGCCAACACATTAGTGGTTATGGCTTTTAGCTTTTGCTTTGGGTAAGTGGCTCTGAGGATTACTTACATACTTTAAGTTGCCATTAATCCACCTGTATGTTTAATGTTTATATGTATTTGTCTTACAGTGTGGCCTTGCTGCTGTCT